AGGATGAGTACTGAGCATGGAATTGGCAGCCAGTCTATATCCCGGCCCTCCTAGTGTAGCCCACATGGGTGCATCCACGTTAACCTGATAGGTGAGGGGGTTATATGGGGTACAAATCAATGGAGGATGAGTACTGAGCATGGAATTGGGCAGCCAGTCTATATCCGGCCCTCCTAGTGTAGCCCACATGGGTGCATCCACGTTAACCTGATAGTGAGGGGGGTTATATGGGGTACAAATCACATGGAGGATGAGTACTGAGCATGGAAGTGGGCAGCCAGTCTATATCCGGCCCTCCTAGTGTAGCCCACATGGGTGCATCCACGTTAACCTGATAGTGAGGATGTGACGGGGCACAAAGCACACGCGCTTAGGGCGTGTGACCTCCGTGTCGAACATTGGAAAAGTTTGAACACTGTAGCATGTTACAAGTTTCGCGAACGTCGGCAGTGCTTTTGCGATTTTCGCCAAAAAAACTCGCGAAGTCACCATGAACGATTTTTGAGTCGACTCAAAAATCACCTCGCGAAGTCACCATGAATGGCATAAAAAAGGGTGCCAACACCCCTGTTCGAATGGCAGGCCCTGCCCGTGAGCACGGAACACACTCGCGCCAATCTGGCGTCCTGCGAAAATGTGCGAGGGCAAACTGGCGCGACAGGTGACCAGATTCTGCCCGAGCGGACAGCCTGCCCACACCAAGCCTACTTCCCGCAGCGATAGAGCCCACGAGCCCAATTTCTACAGCGCGGGCATGAAAGGTCTGGGAGGGGTTTTGGAGGCACGGGGCAGGTATGGTTGGGTTTCGTGATTGGCGACGTATTTGCGGGGTTTGTCACTCTTCGTAACGATTCGAATTTCAGAGATTCAAAGTGGTTTGGGCCTCGGGATCTAGTTTTGAGGCGCCTCAAAACTATCACGCAAAACTAGACTCCTATCACGCAATTTCAGAGATTCAAAATGGGGCCTCGGGATCCATGGTTTTGGCGCTTGCCACAGCTGAAACTCACACGAATGTGCGAACAACAGATTTCGTTGTTCGCACACCTTCGGGATTCGAAATCGTGCGAATTTCGGCCCCCCACTGCCGAGGTCACACGTCCTTAAAGTCACGAGACAATATCCATGTTTCAGTCCGCATAGCATCTCAATACAATCACATTTCACGGATGTGTTAACGGGGGGTTAAGGTGTCTGAATTCCAGCAGAGGTGTGGGGGGGAGGGGGGGCGAGCGGTTGTAGACGAATTTTTGCAATGTTATCCACGTGTCAGCAGTCGCATCTGAGCATGATCACCTTGTGAATGGTGAGGGGCGGGTTGAGGTGCCTGAGTCCCAGCATAGGGGGACACGAGCATCCAGCAGCAGGTGACGAACTCTAGGGGCTGGCTCTTCTCACGCCACGATGCATGTCAAGAGTATGCTGTAGCCTGTAGTATGCTGATCATGTCAGTACCTTGAGTAGGCTGTAGCGCACCTTATGGATGGTCAATGGCGGGTTGAGGTGCCTGAACCCCAACAGGGGAGGTTGCGAGCAGCTGGTGGCGGATTTTCTCGATCAGATACAGCCCACCATTCACATCAGTCACATCAAGTCTCAGCATAATCACCTTGTGTATGGTCAATGGCGGGTGGAGGTGCTTGAACCCAGCAGGGGAGGTCGCGAGCAGCTGGTGACGAATTTGAGTAGCTGGCTCTTCTCCTCCCTTGACAGGCCAGCCACCACCTGATGGTGGGTAGTGGCAGGGAAGATGGGCAGCAAGCAGCGGAAAGAGAAAGGGAAAGAGGGGAAGAAACCAGACCTGCTGTGAACCTCACAAGCAGCTGGTGACGAATTTGAGTAGCTGGCTCTTCTCCTCCCTTGACAGGCCGGCCACCACCTGACGGTGGGTCAGAAGGCAAAAGAAGTGGGGCGGGAGGGGACAGACACGGGGACGGTACATCCACGACGGGACGGGGAAGGTACATCTGATGAATACGTAGGTGAATTTTGAGTCGACTCAAAAATCACGGTCGGAAGGCAAAAGGAGTGGGCAGGAGGAGGGGAAAGAGACGGGGAAGGACACAGGGACGGTACATCTGATGAGTACTGTCACGTGGTGAGGAGCTAGGGCCTAGTGGCGAACTTGAGAGCAGCTGGCTCTTCTTCTCAAGTGACAAGCCGGCCTGCCACCAACTGATGGCCGGCTTGTCACTCGTCAGGTGGTAGCAGAGTGATGGGCAGAAGAGGGAGGGGAAGGCAGATGCACATAGTGGTGGTGGTGGTGTGCAGTGAACCTCGCACTTTTGAGGCGCCTCAAAAGTGGTGGTGGTGTGCAGTGAACCTCGCAAGCAGCTGCCCGATTCGAGGAACTGCCACTTCTCCTCCCAACCGACACTGCCCCTAAAATTTCTCTTCCTGGCCTCACAGTATTCAAAACACGCACCTGCGAGAACATCTGGATGCTTCGGTGGCTGGCTGAATACCCACCCAGAGTACCGCATGTGTGCTTTCCGGTCCCCCACATACCGCTCTCGATTCCCCTCGCTGCATTGGCCGTCATGCACACCTCCCAGCTTGTTTTTGAGAATTCTCAAAAACACCCTGCAAAATCATTGGCTGCTGTCATGCACACCTCCCAGAGTCCACCATACAAGCACGAACCTGCCAGAACATTTGAATGGTTCGGTCGCTGTCCGAATACCCCCCAGAGTACTGCGTGTGGGCCCTTAGGTCCTCCACATCCACGTCCTGCTCCCCGCCTGACAGCAGCTGCACACAGGAGACACATAGCACATAGGGCAACATGTCGGGACAGGATTAATGGCCCAGAGTGGCGCGCCCTTAGTTCCTCCACATCCACATCCTGCTCCCCGCCTGACAGCAGCTGCACACACAGAAAGACATAGCGCATAGGGTAGCGCATAGAAATGGGGTAGAATGTCCGGAGTACCGCGTGTGCGCCTTAGGTCCTCCACATCCACATCGTGCTCCCCGCCTGAGAGCAGCTGTACGCATTCACACACAACGGGAAAGAAAGCACAGGGTAAGATGCACAGGGTGAGATGCACAGGGTGAGATGCACAGGGTGAGATGCACAGGGTGAGATGCACAGGGTGAGATGCACAGGGTAAGATGCACAAGGTAAGATGCACAGGGTAAGATGCACAGGGTGAGGCGAGCAGAGACGCGTGCCATTAGGTCCTCCACATCCACATCGTGCTCCCCGCCTGACAGCAGCTGCACATAGAGGACGACACAGGGCTACACTGGCAGACACGAGACAGGCAAGCATACACGATAACACGTAACGGACTCGAGGCACATGCGCCCTGAGGCCCTCCACATCCACATCGTGCTCCCCGCCTGACAGCAGCTGCACATAGAGGACGACACAGGGCTACACTGTCAGACACGAGACAGGCAAGCATACACGATAAAACATCACGGACTCGAGGCACATGCGCCCTTAGGCCCTCCACAGGGTTGCCTTAGACCCTCCACATCCCTTCCACAAAGAAACTGTTGGAGAAAAAAGGGCGAGACGCATGAATGTCAGGTGAGCTAAGATAAGTGGCCAGAGTGGGCCTCCACATCCCTTCCTCACAGAAACTCTTGGAAACCAAGGGGTGAGTGAGACGCATGGCGATTAGGTGAGACATGAGTGCAGGTGGGAGCAGCTACATGGGATGGATGCATAGGAACATCTGCTTACGTACCTTCAGGAAGTACCACATTTAATTCTTGCCTAGGACATATCAAAAGCACAGGACGTGGACAGGAGCGGAGATCAATCAGCCCTGTTGTTTTCTCCTGGTTCTCACCTGCTCTGTTGCCACCTCCTGAATTCTCACCTGGTTAAACTCCTTGGGGCTGAATAGCCGCAGCCACTCGGGCCGAATCAGGTCCGAGAGGCCCCTGAGGAACGCCGCCACCACTGCTGCCATCTGGAACGGGCGGGACAGACAGGACAGAGCGTTGATTAACTAACGGGATAAGAGAGCCAAGTACTTGAACAGCCGCAGCCATTCAGGTTGCATAAGGTCCGAGAGGCCCCTGAGGAACACCGCCACCACTGCTGCCATCTGGAACGGGCGGGATAGAGGAGACAGAGTGTTGATTAAACTAACGGGATAAGAGAGCCAAGTACTTGAACAGCCGCAGCCATTCAGGTTGGATAAGGTCCGAGAGGCCCCCGAGGAACGCCGCCACCACTGCTGCCATCTGGAACGGGCGGGAAAGAGAGGACAGAGCGTTGACTAAACTAACGGGATAAGAGAGCCAAGTACTTGAACAGCCACAACCATTCAGGTTGCATAAGGTCCGAGAGGCCCCTGAGGAACGCCGCCACCATTGCTGCCATCTGATGGGGTGGGTGGGTGTTGAGGGGAGGGGTACGGAGGTGGGGAGAGCGGGGAGAAGAACGGATAGGGTCAAGAGTAAGAGGGGAGGGAGCACAGGGCAGGCTGAACTGCCGCAGCCATTCTGTCTGAATCAAGTCCGAGAGGCCCCTGAGGGACGCCGTCGCCACCGCTGCCATCTGATAGGGTGGGTGGGGAGGGAGAGGGCAAGAGCAGTCAGGTAAATCGGTGGTCAGGGTGGTCTTGCCCCCCACCCTCCACCCCTCTTGCCCTCCCCCTCCCCGCCGCCACCACCGCTGCCATCTGATAGGGTGGGTGGGGAGGGAGAGGGCAAGAGCGGTCAGGTAAATCAGTGGTCAGGGTGGTCTTGCCCCCCACCCTCCACCCCTCTTGCCCTCCCCCTCCCCGCCGCCACCACCGCTGCCATCTGATAGGGTGGGTGGGGAGGGAGAGGGCAAGAGCGGTCAGGTAAATCAGTGGTCAGGGTGATCTTGCCCCCCACCCTCCACCCCTCTTGCCCTCCCCCTCCCCGCCGCCACCACCGCTGCCATCTGATAGGGTGGGCGGGGAGGGGGAGGGCAAGAGGGGTGGAGGGTGGGGGGGGGAGGAGAGGAGAAAGGGTAGGATCAGCAGAGAGAGGGGAGGGAGTGCAGGGCATGCTGAACTGCTGCAGCCATTCAGGCTGGATCAAGCATGAAAGGTCCCTTGAAAGAGCCACTCTAACTCACCTGAAATTTCACCTGTATGCTGCATTCAAAAGTAGCAAGAAACAATGGGTCTGTGGTTGTCTGTTGAGCTTGTAATCAGCCACAGCATGAATATACTGCAGCAGGTTCTCATGGGTCACTGTGGATACCACCTGACCACCGTTGAAATCACCTGAACTTTCACCTGGTGGTTAAGCACCAACTAAGCCTGTAGATAGTCACAGCATGAATGCACCGTCCCTTGTTCTCGTTGGTTACTGTTGAAACCACCTGACCACTGTCGATTTACCTGAGCTCTCACCTGACGGTTGAGCCTGTAGTCCACCACAGCATGAATGGACTGCAGCTTGTTCTCACCAATCACAGTTGAATGAAACCACCTGACCACTGTTGATTTCACCTGAAATCTTACCTGACGGTTGAGCTTGTAGTCAGCCATAGCATAAACGCATTGCAGCCTGTTCCCATTGGTCACTGATGAAACCACCTGACCACTGTTGATTCCACCTGAACTCTCACCTGACGGTTGAGCTTGTAATCCGCCACAGCATGGATGTACTGCAGCTTGTTCTCGTTGGTCACTGCGATGTGGCTGCCGCCCGGCCGCAGCTCCACTATGCTGTGCTCGCCAAGTACCTCCTCTGTGACTGTGAAGTCCAATGCGAGCTCTGATGCGTCCCCTTCATAGTGCTGCAAGGGGGGGGGGAGGGGGGGACAATAATGCAGAAACGTAGGAGAGGGAGGGGTTGGAGGTTGGAGGCACCAGCTCCACTATGCTGTGCTCGCCTAGTACCTCCTCTATTACTGTGAAGTCCAATGCTAGCTGTGATGCGTCCCCTTCATAGTGCTGAATGGTTGGGGAAAAGAGGAGCCAGAGAGGCAGGGGTTGGATGGAGCCCGAAGCTCCACCATGCTCTGCTCGCCAAGTACCTCCTCTCTGTTACTGTGACGTCCAGAGATATCTCTGAGGCGTCGCCTTCATAATGCTGGATGGGGAAGGGGATCAAGGGGAGGACAACAAGCAGGAGAAACAGAGAACTTAAGGTTGGAGGCCGCATCTCCACTATGCTGTGCTCGCCCAGCTCCTCCTCCGTCACTGTGTCGTCCAGAGCCAGTTCCGACGCATTGCCGTCATAATGCTCCGAGGCGGTCGGGGAGGGGCAATGAGACAAAAAGGAGGAGAGGCAAGGGTTGGAGACCTCAGCTCCACTCCGCTGTGCTCGCCTAGTACTTAGTCTGTTACTGTGACCGTTGAGTCGACTCAAAAGTCACTGCGCTGTGCTCGCCTAGTACTTAATCTGTTACTGTGACCGTCCAGAGCCAGGTGGGAAGGATAGGGATTTGAGGATGGAAGCAACCCTTCTCCAGTGGCTGTGCAGTCGAGAGCTCGCTCTCTCGGAGGTATCCCCTCGCAGTGCTGGATGGTTGCGAACGAAAGGACATCAAGCATGAGGGAGAGGCAAAGGTTGGAGGCTGGAGATGCACTATGCTGAGCTCGACAACCCTTCTCCAGTGACTGTGAAGTCGAGAGCTCGCTCTCTCAGAGGTATCCCCTTGCAGTTCTTTCACGGCCGAGCTACTAACCCCACGGCCGAGCTACTAACCCCACGGCCGAGCTACTAACCCCACGGCCGAGCTACTTACCCCACGGCCGAGCTACTTACCCCACGGCCGAGCTACTAACCCCACGGCCGAGCTACTTACCCCACGGCCGAGCTACTTACCCCACGGCCGAGCTACTAACCCCACGGCCGAGCTACTAACCCCACGGCCGAGCTACTTACCCCACGGCCGAGCTACTTACCCCACGGCCGAGCTACTTACCCCATGGCCGAGCTACTAACCCCATGGCCGAGCTACTAACCCCATGGCCGAGCTACTTACCCCATGGCCGAGCTACTAACCCCACGGCCGAGCTACTTACCCCACGGCCGAGCTACTTACCCCACGGCCGAGCTACTAACCCCACGGCCGAGCTACTAACCCCACGGCCGAGCTACTTACCCCACGGCCGAGCTACTTACCCCACGGCCGAGCTACTTACCCCATGGCCGAGCTACTAACCCCATGGCCGAGCTACTAACCCCATGGCCGAGCTACTTACCCCATGGCCGAGCTACTAACCCCACGGCCGAGCTACTAACCCCACGGCCGAGCTACTAACCCCACGGCCGAGCTACTAACCCCACGGCCGAGCTACTAACCCCACGGCCGAGCTACTAACCCCACGGCCGAGCTACTAACCCCACGGCCGAGCTACTTACCCCATGGCCGAGCTACTAACCCCATGGCCGAGCTACTAACCCCATGGCCGAGCTACTTACCCCATGGCCGAGCTACTAACCCCACGGCCGAGCTACTAACCCCACGGCCGAGCTACTAACCCCACGGCCGAGCTACTAACCCCACGGCCGAGCTACTAACCCCACGGCCGAGCTACTAACCCCACGGCCGAGCTACTTACCCCATGGCCGAGCTACTAACCCCATGGCCGAGCTACTAACCCCATGGCCGAGCTACTTACCCCATGGCCGAGCTACTAACCCCACGGCCGAGCTACTAACCCCACGGCCGAGCTACTAACCCCACGGCCGAGCTACTAACCCCACGGCCGAGCTACTAACCCCACGGCCGAGCTACTAACCCCACGGCCGAGCTACTAACCCCACGGCCGAGCTACTTACCCCATGGCCGAGCTACTAACCCCATGGCCGAGCTACTAACCCCATGGCCGAGCTACTTACCCATGGCCGAGCTACTAACCCCACGGCCGAGCTACTAACCCCACGGCCGAGCTGCTAACCCCACGGCCGAGCTACTAACCCCACGGCCGAGCTACTAACCCCACGGCCGAGCTACTAACCCCACGGCCGAGCTACTTACCCCATGGCCGAGCTACTAACCCCATGGCCGAGCTACTAACCCCATGGCCGAGCTACTTACCCCATGGCCGAGCTACTAACCCCACGGCCGAGCTACTAACCCCACGGCCGAGCTACTAACCCCACGGCCGAGCTACTAACCCCACGGCCGAGCTACTAACCCCACGGCCGAGCTACTAACCCACGGCCGAGCTACTAACCCCACGGCCGAGCTACTTACCCCATGGCCGAGCTACTTACCCCATGGCCGAGCTGCTAACCGCAAGGCCGAGCTACTTACCCCATGGCCGAGCTGCTAACCGCAAGGCCGAGCTACTAACCCCATGGCCGAGCTGCTAACCGCAAGGCCGAGCTACTAACCCCATGGCCGAGCTACTAACCCCATGGCCGAGCTACTAACCCCATGGCCGAGCTACTTACCCCATGGCCAAGCTACTAAACCTATGGCCGAGCTACTAACCCCATGGCCGACCTACTTACCCCATGGCCGACCTACTAACCCCATGGCCGAGCTACTTACCCCATGGCCGACCTACTAACCCCATGGCCGAGCTACTAACCCCATGGCCGAGATACTAACTGCATGGTCGAGCTGCTGACCCCGTGGCCGAGCTACTTACCCCATGGCCAAGCTACTAAACCCATGGCCGAGCTACTAACCCCATGGCCGAGCTACTTACCCACGGCCGACCTACTAACCCCATGGCCGAGCTACTAACCCCATGGCCGAGCTACTAACTGCATGGCCGAGCTGCTGGCCCCACGACAGAGTACAAGGCCTTGGGCACGATGGCAGACAAGTCACCAAGATATACAGGCAGACCCACCTTGAGGTACATGAGGTTGCGATTGAGCTCCACGTCCAAGCTCGATAGCTCGTCCAGAATCGCGCATCTCCCAACAAGCTTCGACACAACCTCTCTTCGAGGGGTGCGAAGTTGTACTCGAGAAGAATCCCCTCGTAGAGCACCTTGCCCCACTATGCGCCCCAGCACAACTGAGTATATTCTCAAAACGAAAAGTCGCCCCAACGTCCTTGCTGATGCTCCCCTAAAACCGACCCACCTTGAGGTACAGGTTGCGGTGAGCTCCACATCTTGGAAATGCAGCTCGTCCAGGAAATGCGCACTGCTACTCCACCAGCTCGGGGATAGAGGCTCATTGGCGAGCATCAGGCGTGAGGAGTCTATTTTTGAGGCGTCTCAAAAATAGATTCCTCGCGTATTTTTGAGGCACCTCAAAAATAGAACTCCTCAACGTATTTTTGAGGCGCCTAAAAAATAGACTCCACCAGCTCGGGGATAGAGGCTCATTGGCGAGCATCAGGTAGAGACCTAAGCACCGGACCCACCTTGAGGTACGTGAGGTGTCTATTTTTGAGGCGCCTCAAAAATAGGTTGCGGTACAGCTTCACATCCAAGCTGGACAGCTCGTCCAGGAGCTTCGACACTAACAGTGGTGCAAAGTTGTGCTCGAGGAGAATGCCCTTGTAAAGGGGGTGCCCACTGCCCACTATGCTCACACGCTAAAGTTGCACCCACCTTGAGGTACATGAGGTTGCGGTAGAGCTCCACATCCAGCGAGGAGAGCTCGTCCAGGAACGCGTATCTCCCAACGAGCTTCGACACAAAGAGGGGCGCGAAGTTGTACTCCAGGAGAATGCCCTCATAGAGCGCCTTGCCCACTATGCGCCCCAAGAACTCCACCATCGGAATGCCGTGGCCCAGCGCTGCTGCTGCCGGATGGGGATACAGATAGCCTTCTTCAGTTGCTGCTTGGAGGAAAAGACCATACCTGGGGAGAGGGAGGGCGGGCAGGGATGGGGGCGGACAGGAAAGCGGGGGGAAAAAGGCCCCAAAAAGTGTTTCTGGGGAGGGAGGGAGTAAGCAGGAGGGAAGGGTCCCTTCGTGCAGCAAGAGCGCCTTGCCCACTATATGCCCCAGGAACTCCACCATCGGAATGCCGTGGCCCAGCGCCGCTGCTGCTGCCAGGTGGGGATAGAGGTAGCCTTCCTCCGTTGCTGCCTGGAGAAACAGCAAGTAGCTGTTAAGGGAAAGGGGAGGGGGGAGAGGAGGGAGGATCTCCACCATCGGAATGCCGTGGCCCAGCGCCGCTGCTGCCGGGTGGGGATACAGGTACCCCTCTTCTGTTGCTGCCTGGAGAAACAGCCCGTAGCTGGGGAAAGGAGGGGTGAATAGGGGCGGAAGGGAAGCACCATCGGAATGCCGTGGCCCAGCGCCGCTGCTGCCGGATGGGGATACAGATACCCTCCTCGGTTTCTGCTTGGAGAGGAAGAGACTGTAGCTGGGGAAAGGAGGGGTGGAAGGGGGAGATGGGAGAGGGGAGGACGGGGGTGGAGTGGAGGGGAACGGTGTGGAAAAGGAGAGGAGAGGGAAAGCCTGCTTTAGCCGAACCTGATCCATGCCTATCTAGGTATCACCGGCATTCCCTCACAGGACCTTACCTGGTAAAACCTAATCCAAGTGCCGCCTACCCGAAGTGCACCTACCCCGAGTGATGGCACCTACGCCAAGTGGTACCTACCCCAAGCGGCACCTACCCCTGGTCGAAGACTGGCTTAGCGAGGTCAGTGAGGAACTCCTTAAAGAGCCCGCCCTGGTCCATGCCTATCCAGGCACAACAGGTACCAACGTCCCTCCTTACCACCTACCCAAACCACCATCACTCGACAATACAGCATCTGAAGTCTAGTTTTGAGGCGCCTCAAAACCTACCCAACCCACCATCACTCGATAATACCGCATCTGAAGATCCCCATTCCACTACCTACCCCGGGTCGAAGGCTGCCTTAGCGAGGTCAGTGAGGAACTCCTTGAACAGTCCGCCCTGATCCATGCCTATCTCCTCCGCTCCAAACGCGTTCACGAATGACACCCGCACACGGCCCTGCGAGGTGGTGATGGTAAATGGTGGAAGCATAAGAAACAGCAAACAATGGTAAGCTGAAAAACAATCCGCCCTGATCCATGCCTATCTCCTCCGCTCCAAACGCGCTCACGAATGACACCCGCACACGGCCCTGAGATGTGGCTAGTGGGAGAAGGGACGGTGCAAGCAAGGAGAACCGCTCATACAGTCCGCCCTGGTCCATGCCTCTCTCCTCGCCTCCAAAGGCGCCCCCGAATGTACTCGCACACGGCCCTGCGAGGTGATGGCGGTAAATGGTGGAAGTGGAATACACGACGAACAATGGTACGATGAAAAACAGTCCGCCCTGGTCCATGCCTCTCTCCTCGCCTCCAAAGGCGCCCCCGAATGTACTCGCACACGGCCCTGCGAGGTGATGGCGGTAAATGGTGGAAGTGGAATACGCGACGAACAATGGTACGATGAAAAACAGTCCGCCCTGGTCCATGCCTCTCTCCTCGGATACAAACGCATCCAGGAATGACGACACCCGCACCCGGCCCTGTGAGTGAATGGTGGTAAATGGTGAAAGCAGAATATTCAACGAACAATGATCCCAGAACCCACTCTCTCCCCCCCGACCTTTCTCCCCACAAGCTGCTCTCAGCTCTCCGACTCTTGCTGTGGTGGCAGCAGCTGGGGACCTTGAGGCACTGGGGCGTGCCACACAGCGGGCCAAGAGTCTAGGAGATGTGGTGGCGTTGAGGGTGGCTGGTAGTGGCGCAGTGCCGGCGCCTTTTGCCCTGGGCACGGAACTCGAGGCCGTTGAACACGCCGCCAAGGTTCCGTGCCCAGGGCGAAGGGCGCGGGCACCGCGCCACTATCAGCCACCCTCGCCGCCACCACGACTCCTAGACTCTTGGCCCGCAGAGCACCATATCCCAGCGCCTCAAGGTTCCTTACTGCTGCCACCACAACAAGAGCTGAAGAGCTGAGCGCAGCGTGATATCCTGGTGCCATTGTTTGGGTGGGTGCTGGTGGCATGTGCGGGCGTTCACAAATGACACCCGCACACGGCCCTGTGAGGTCGGGAGGGAGAATGAGCAACAATGGTAAGATGAGAAACAGTCCACCTTGGTCCATCATCCATGCCCATCTCCTCGGCTCCAAACGCATCCAACAACAACACCCCGCGCACACGAACCAAGGTTGGGAGAAAAGTGAGGAAAGGGGCAAGGGGGCATGGGCGGCCCCCCTCTCTTATGAGCCCTCATCAATGCCTTGAGCATGGGCCCTAGCTGGTTGAGGCGGACAAAGGCGCGGCGTCTTCCACTAGCAGATCCCACTGCATGGTATTTTTGTCAAATCTTCAAAATGCACGTCCACCACTGGCCGCTCAGTCCCATGCCCTGGCGAATCAACAACCTCAGCAATAATTTCCCAAAAGCACCACCTCAATTTCCCCTTCACAATACCTTGAGCATGGGGCCCAGCTGGTTGAGGCGGACGAAAGCGTCTTCCACCAGCAGGTCGCGCCGAACAGACACGTCCACCACTGGCCTCACCATCCCAGCCCCAGGTGCAATACGCAACCCGTTCCTCGCCTTATCCACTTGAATCAACTCGCGGAATATGTGAACTCTGCCAGGGGAAACATGGAGGAACAAGGACGCGGCCGAGGCGTTGAGAGAGGAGAGTGACAGGCGTATGCACGAGACACGCCTCAAGACACGTCCACCAAGGGCCGCAGAGTGCCAGCCCCGGGCGCTATGCCCAACTCGTGCCTCGCCTCGTACGCTCGAATCAACTCCCGGAATATGTACACTCTGACATGGGCGACATGGGGTGAGAAGGAGGCGACGGATGTGTGTGCGGAAACAGAGAGCAATGGGAGCACGTGAGTCCTGCTCTCGCCGCACTCACACGTCCACCACGTCCAGGAGGATGCGTCCGTGAGAGAGACAGGATGATGCGTCAGTGAGAAAGACAGGATGATGCGTCCGTGAGAAAGGCAGGATGATGCGTCGGTGAGAGAGACAGGATGATGCGTCGGTGAGAGAGACAGGATGATGCGTCGGTGAGAGAGACACGAAGATGCGTCGGTGAGAGAGACAGGATGATGCGTCGGTGAGAGAGACAGGATGATGCGTCGGTGAGAGAGACAGGAAGATGCGTCGGTGAGAGAGACAGGATGATGTGTCAGTGAGAAAGGCAGGATGATGCGCCAGTGAGAAAGACAGGATGATGCGTCTGTGAGAGAGATACGTGCAGCACTTGACCCACAAAGCCCTCTCATCCAAATGCGTTTTCAACACAACAGCCACCGCTGATCCACCACCCCCCCACCCAGCACCATTACCCCCTCACGGGCTTTTTCCGCGTACATCCTCGTGGTCTTTCCCTGCTCCCTGCTGCTACATACCTCTTCTCAAACGGCAGCACGTGAGGCAGCGTCCTCAAAACAGCTGCCATTGCTGACCCACCCTGCTGCTCCTTCCCCTTATCCATACCTCCTCTTCCTCTCCCTCCTCCTCCTCCTCCCCCTCCCGCGCCTCCCCCACCAGTTACGCCTGTGCCTAGTTCCCCCATCCACTCCCCAACCTCCCAGTCCTCCTCCCCTTCCTCCATCTGTACCCCCATTCCCCCTCCCCCCTCTCCCCCTACCCCATGGTGCCTGGCTGCGCCTGCAGGGGGGAGAGAATTGGGGGGAGGAAGAGAATGCGGGGAAGTTGAGTTGACAAAGCGTCAAGAGCGCCGGATCACAGAATGCCCTGCGGGAGATGCGGTCAACGAGTGGGAGGAGGAGACAGCGAGTGGCAGCTTCGAAGAGAGCAATGTGCTCCAGTCTTTGCGGGGCTCCAGTCTTTGGGGCGGCTTCTAGTAGAGCAGTGCACTCCTGGTTTTGACGCAATCCCGTTGCTCCCTCTTACCTGCTGCTGAAATGACAGGAGGCGGGCGGCGATCAGCCGGGGCGAGCCAGAGGGCCGGTTCACAGAAGGCCCTTCTGCAGTCCCGGTCGTGCAGAGGGAGGAGGCAGCGCGTGGCGGCTTCTAGGAGCGCGGATTGCGAGGGAGTGAGAGAGGAGGAGGATGAGGAGGAGGAGGAAGAGGAGGAGGGGGAGGAGATGAGAGTGTTGTAGACGAGGGTGTTGAGTGTGGCGGCAATGACTCGTTGCTCCGAGAGAGAGAAGGGCATCTGAGCGACGGGGAGGGGAAGGAGAAACGAGATGGGTCGATGTGGGAGGGGAAATAAAGCGATGAGAGTGCTGTGGACGAGGGTGCTGAGCGTGGCAGCAATGACTCGCTGCTCCGAGAGAGAGAAGAGGGCATCCGGAGGGTGGGGAAGGGAAGGAGAAGGGAATGAGATGGGGCAATGTGGAGATGAAGGAGAGGAGATGTGGAGATGTGGAGATGTGGAGATGGGCAAGGGGAGTATGTTGTAAACTAGGGTGTTGAATGTGGCTGCGGTGACTCGCAGCTCCGAGAGAGAGAAAGGCATCTGGCAGCGCGTCATCGAAGGAATAAGGGGGGAAAGGAAGGAGTAAGGGAAACAAGGGGCCGATTTTTGAGTGGACTCAAAAAGGGAAACAAGGGGCAAGCAAGCCAAGGGAAGGGGATGATTAGAGGGCATCTGCCCCCAGCTGTCGCTGGTAGAACTCCTCATCGTCCAATGCCAAGAAAAGATGGCATACGCCTGACAGAACACTTCAAAGGCAGTTGTTCGCAGTCCAAGCATCACCCCATTTGCTCTCTCCCTCACCCACCTGTCTCTGGTAGAACCCCCTCCGCATCATCCAACACCAGCAGCAGGTCGGCATACACCCGACAAAACACCGTCATCACCACCGCCACCACATCTGCCGCCACTCCCAGATCACCCCAAGCCCAAACCAACACCCAACAGACACCGCAGCACACCTCCAACGCCCACCAAATCTCACCTGTCGCTGGTAGAACTCCTCATCACCCAACATTAAAAGCAGGTGGGCTTACGCCCTGCAGAACAGAGTCATCACCACCGCCACACCTGCTGCCACTCCCCCCACCCCCTTCCTCATTCCGTGCATTCTCTAGGAAGCACCTCCACACGACACACCCCACATACCCAACAGACGCCTCACCTGACGCTGGTAGAACTCTTCATCGTCCAGCACCAGCAGCAGGTGGGCATACGCCCTGCAGGCCACCGTCACCACCGCCGCCGCCACACCTGCATGGAGCCTCAAAGCCATATCACAGACGCCTCACCTGTCGCTGGTAGAACTCTTCATCGTCCAGCACCAGCAGCAGGTGGGCATACGCCCTGCAGAACACTGTCATCACCACCGCCACGTCTGCCGCCACGCCCGCCGCCCCCTTCCGCATCCCCTCCACGTCCCACCTCTCCCCTCCTCCCACTGCTCCCTCTCCCACTGCCTCCGCTCCCACTCTCTCCTCCCCTTCCCCTTCGCCTTCCCAATCCTCATAATCTTCCTCCATATAGTCACCCGCTGAAGTCTCCCAAAACGTCCTCCCTCCTCCTCCCCCTCCAACCCTTCCTCTCTGCGCCTCTGCCGCTCGTCTCTGGAAGGTGGAGGAGAGAAACGTTGACCACCGCTGGGCCGCCGTTGACCCTGCTTGACCCGACTGGCCAGATTGACCTGTTTGACCCGTTTGACCCGTTTGCCGCCCACCCATCAACGCAGCCAGCACAGAGTCATCATCACTTGCAGTCCCGTGCGGCCCTCCCTGGCCGGCAGACTCTGTCTGCATGCGGTCAACACCTCCTGCTGCTCCTCCTTGTGGGGCCCACTCATCCTCCTCCGCCCTCCTCTCACCGCCCTCCCCTCCTCCCCCATACCCTTCCAAAAACGACCTAGGGAACCAGCTGCCCGAGAACTGGGGCAGCTGAAAAGAACCGGCTACCCCTCCCCCTTGCCTGTGCCTATCCCTCCCTGACCTTCCTCTCCTCCTGC